AACGAGATTAGGCCCATGTGGTTCCGTGTCTCCCACATCTGGAAACATTGGCTTTTATTGCAGAAACAAAATTTGCTTCCCGAAAGGCAAAAATAAACTATATTTCCTACCAAATTCAGTAACATTTGATGAAACACTCTCACCGTTTGCCGACGCTGATAAGACAATATGACATACCGAAACATTGGTAAGACAAATATCTTTGACTTTGCGCAACACTATTTCCCGGTTTGTCCCGGGCATTAAGGGATATTTATATAAATTCCTAGGAAAACCTCTGATTGAATTTTAATTTTAATGTATTATCGAATAACTATGCAAGATATGTTTGGCGCTTCTTAAGTTGCGCGTTCCATCCATCGCTTAAGTATATTCTATAGATACCAATCTTAAACTTTTCCATTCCTTCCAACCATCTTTTCCAACCATCTGTTCCAACCTACGAAGCCGGACCAGTGAAGGACCTTTAACTGTGAAAGAAACATGTCCCCGAAGCTCCAACTCGAAATTCATCATAAAAAAGATAAATTGGGAGGAAATATGAGATCCATAATTTCATCATAACTATCTATAATTGAAAGACATGTTTCATCCACCTTTCCATATGCGGCATATTGATATGATGTGCGATTTGTATGAAGTAAAAGAACGTCATTTGTGCATGGCATGATGTTCAATCACCGAGTTTGGTTGGGAAGTAAACGAAAGGCAAGTCAATATCAGATGGAAGCCGGCAACTCCTGATGGAAATTTGGAAAACGTTACTGTGGTTGTAAGTCTGGATATTCATCAAGACGTTGTACCTGTCAAAAAGCCGAGAATAGAATTAGTGTACTGGTCTTTGTTACGATTGCGATTGCGCAAATTCTCCCGACCAGAATACAGACGAGAACGATTTCTCAGATGATGATGGCTTATTATTCGAACTTGATGGCGATGACACTGGATTTGATGGCATATTTGAAGAACAATGATGGTAATGCACTTAGGTATTATCTGCGCAATGCAGCAGATCAGTATTTGGTTATGGTTGAGAAGCTGAAACGCACCTTGGCGGAGGAGCTGAAACGCATTCTAGCGCCGCCGCAGCAAATCTATAAGAAAAAGTCAACAAGTGTGGGTACGAAAAACCAGGTTGAATCGTTCCTCGTTATTCTAGATAGTGGCTAAATACCCACCTATGTCACAATATAATATATGTAATATTAAATACGAGAAGTAGCACTTTACCAGACAAAAGCCAGAACAGCTTATTGTAGAATACATGCAATCTCGTTTTGAGCGTAGGTCGGTAGACCCTAGGCCAGGATCCAATAAGTGGGATTTTATTGCACTGATGAAAATCTGGGCTCAAGGATGAAAAACGTGTCTTTCAATTATAGATAGTTATGATGAAATTATGGATTTTTTATTTCCTCCCAATTTATCTTTTTTTATGATAAATTTCGAGTTGATGCCTGGGACATGTTTCTTTCACAGTTAAAGGTCCTACACTGGTGCAGTCCGGCTTCGTCGGTTGGAACAGATGGTTGGAAAAGATGGTGGGAACGAATGGAAAAGTTGGTCCAAATCCAAGATTGGTATCCATAGAATATACTTAAGCGATGGATGGAACGCACGATTTAAGAAGCGCCAAACATATCTTGCAATAGCCTGATAATACACAGGGGCATCAGAAGGGGAGCCCGCGCCCCCACTTTTTAGTTTTGGGGCCTCCCTCCCATTTTTATTGATGTTATTTCAGTTACGCAAAGTGTAGACAAAACAATTTGAGATGTTTTATGACAGTTTGTTACCTTTACAACTCTGTAAATCTCCTTCTAAAGTGCAGGAAATGGCATTTCAAACAAATTGTTCAGGGGAGCATGCCCCCAGATCCCCCTAGAATGTCACTAAGTGTGCGCTAGGGCAAAGTGTGCGTTAGGGCGAAGTGTGCCCGCCCACTTTTAGAGCCGCTCCGACGCCCCTGATGATTCATTAAAGATTCAATCAGAGGTTTTCCTAGGAGTTTATATAAATATCCATTATTAATGCCATGGACAAACTGGGAAACATTGTTGCGCAAAAATATTTGTCATATTATTTGTAATGTTTCGGTATTTTATATTGTCTTACCAGCGTCGGCAAACGGAGAAAGAGTGTTTATCAAATGTTTCTAATTTGGTAGGAAATATTTTTGTTTTCCAGGAAGCAAAGTTTGTTTCAATAAAAGGCAATGTTTCCAGGTGTTGGAGATAGGGAAACATTTGAGAAAACACATGGGCGTACGGGAAAAAAAAAATTGGGGGGGGGGAAAAATGCCTGACTTTTTCAGATTGTTCCCGAGTTGTCAAAAACATCTTCCAAAAAATTGTTGTCGGGGGGGTAGGAGTGATTACGAAAAATCATATTAGATAGCCAATTTCCCACAAATTGACAGAATTTCCCACAAAATTGACAGAATTTGTCCCATTTATTTTTATAATAAGCCAATGTTGCCCAACTGTGAAGCTAATATTGCCCGACTGGCTTTGTTTGCCCGACAAACTGGGGGCTACCGCCCTCCTCCCGGTGCGCCCATGAGCAAACATTGAAAATCACGAATATTTCCGCGACAATGTTTCTTACGTTTGGCCAAGCCAAGGCTTTAGTTTAGCGAAATATTTAAATTTGTTCCTTGATCGTGTGAATCGTATGTATATTTATATATTCTCCGTCCTGTTTGATACACGTGGGGTTTTTTACCTCACACAAATTTGTATTGAATTACGTTAAAACGGTATTTTGAAACAATAGCCAATGAATTGAGGTGATGTAGCATACGAGCAAGCAAAATGTACAATGTATTTTAAACAATATTTAATGTGTGTGTATTTATTCGTTAATATCACAAGGTTTGATCTTTATTCCGTGATTTTATTTTGTTGTTTTTGCGGGAAAATCGGGGAAAACCCACAGCTAAAATCCATTTTTCGCGTTTGCGCGTGCGCAGTGCGAGTTTGACTGACTTGCGCATGCGTATTTGCTACCAAAACAATGGCGGTTCGAATATTTCGAAGCGGGAAAATAGCGAACTTTATAGGGATTATTTTCGCAATTGTGCACTTGTTTCGCTTGGGGAGCAACGGATTCTGATAAAGTAAGCTTTTATCTATTGATTCATGTGAGAATTACGTAGTTCCACGAGGGGTGCAACGGAATTGCATCTTTTGGATGCTCATCCTACGGCTTATTGCTTCTTTACACGAGCGCTATGACGCAAAATGCCGCCAAAATTAGTTATGCTGTAACAGTCAATTATTGGGTGACGTCCGTGTAGACAAGATTGTCGCTTGGATAAGGTCTGTATTGAGTACATGCTCCTATAGATAGACCTGACCCTATAGATCGCTATGTACAGTAACAATTAGATTACGAGCTCGGGATTTCTATGAGGTGATCAACTATCACCTCGTATAAATCGAGAGAGAGTAATCTAATTCTTGTAGTAGAATCAGAGATCAAACATATTCCATAAACTAATTCGGTAATTTGATAATGGAAGCCGTTTTTTAAATGCGCCAGGGAAATGATTATTTTGCTACTCACTATATGTATCGAGGAATAGATAGCGAGTAGATTAGCTAATCAAATTACAGCATTTGCAAAAGTACACCAGTATGATTCTACTAAATATCTTTAGGTCATTATCATCAAGTCAATTCATATGGCAGTAATAATATTGCCGTGGCAATCCTGTTTTCTCGTCTGGATAAACTTGATGAGTACGATAACACTGGATGTGAGACATTGTCGTATGTTCCTTTGTCTCAACTTGATGTTGACTGGAAATATCCTGGATATGGCAAAATGAGCATGGGAAATACTCACTTAGAAAATGCAAGGTAAAAAATGCGCTTTTTAAAACGGTGCTCCAATGCAGCTACAGATTGTAAATTCAAGATATGAATTTATAACCTGATTTGAGTAAATATATAAAGGTGTCTCCCTACGTTTTTAAAAATGTGGACAATGCGTAAAAATTAGATCATCTCTTTGAAGAAATGTTGCTTGCTAGAAATCAGAGATTGTTCAGCATATACAGGGTGTGTATAAAAAGTAGACAATTTTGAAACTGCTCTCAATTTCACAAATCCGTTAATTTCATGAATTTTTTTATCAATATAGATTGTTTGGGTACTTAAAAAAAAGTAAAATAGCGATATGCAAATTAGGTAAACGCATGAATTAGCATGCGTGATGGGCATTGGTGCCCAAAAATGTAAGTTTGAGCAGCTATTTAAAAATATTTCAGACTTTTCAATGATTTTTCAAAACCTAGCCACGATGTAAAATATTGAAGATTTAAATACCCTTTAATTTATGAGTTCACAGCAACCAGGTATATCAGTCATGTTTTCGTTCACTACTCTGTTTTTAATAAATGAATGCAAAACCCAGTCGAATTGCATTCACGACCCAACGTTTCGACACTCCAATCTATATAGTGTCTTCATCAGAAGTGATCTGATGTCGCAACGTGGCTTCTTACAAACCAATGGGATGGCGTCATCTACGATCAAGGTTGACATATTCTTGTGGTAAATGCACCGTTATTTCTGTTCAAATCAGTGATTACTGATATTTTTTGCCACGCTTCCGAGCAATGTCTTTGCCCTTGGGCATTGCTAGGTGGTAATCACTCCAGCGTTTTCCCACGCAATCACGTGTTTGGTGTCACACACATTTGCCACAAGAACATATCCATCTTGTTGACAGATGACGCCATCTTTGCGACTTCAGATCACCCCTGATGTCAAAACGTTCGGTCGTGAATGCAATTGAACTTTGCATTCATTTATTAAAAGAAGCGAAAACATGACTGTTAAAAACTCTTTCTAAACTGTTTAGAGAAATATTGAAAGAAGCTGTACAAAGAGGAGAATTAACTTTGGAATCTATTCCTATTTTCCTCAAGGTATGCATGTAGTCAAAGTCACCAAACATTTTTTTAGTTCAGTTGGCGTAATGCATATTTAATGTAAAAATATTTTATTTTGAAATTATAACTCGGTAAGTGTAATATTATGGCGTTGTAACGAAGATATAATTGTTTCTTAGAATACTCGTAAATAATTCGTGAAGAAAAATCAAAAGTCAATCAATTTATTCAATATTTGAGTGGTTCAAGTAAAAACGAAACGTTATGTACAGTAAACGGAACATGACATTTTACTATTTCATAAAGCCTAGTTCTCATTCATCGCAAACTGTCACCGACGATCGGCGACGCTTATCACCGATGCTCGCCGAATGCAAATGCACGAAAGTTCTCATACATCGGTGATCGTCGCTGATGACAGCCGATGTGTTTCAAAATTTCCCACCAAGGCACAAAATGGCCCCGTTCAACGTAAAGTTCATGATTTCTGTCAAACTTCAGTTGATTATTTCCTTGCTTGTTGAGGAAAAAACAACTTTTACTCATTTCTCATAGGTTTTTCAAGCAGGTGGCAGTCGGCGATGGTCGCAAGAAACAAACTTTTTTGTTTCCTGCGATGTCATCGCCGATGGTCGGCGACGATTACGGACAGTCGGCGATATAATTTTTGATGTGTTCTCATAAATGGCAAGCGGTCGCCGACGTCGCAAAGCTCCCATCGCCGACGGTTTGCGATGAATGAGAACTAGGCTTTAAGAAGAGCAACATGACATGACATGATATGCGCATTTTGTATAGAGGGATCGAATGGTAACCTCATTCCTCAACCAGTCATGTCCATGCAAGATGGTAGCTCGCTATAGCGTTTATGAGTCTTATGACGTGAGCTATATAACAATATAAACTATGTTAAGCATTCAATTTCTAATAAAGGAATTGATATCTGCAGGAATAATCTTGATATAAAATTAAAAAGTGCAGTTTCATATTCTATTTTTAAAAAAGTAACAAAAAATTACTTCATAAAATTAAAAATATGATCATGCACATCATCGTATTTCCATTTCTATGAAATTTATTTACAATCCTATATTTCAAAGTGCATTATTATTACTTCTTAGCAATGTAAATAGAATTAGTATAAATATTTTTTTGTAAAAATAGGATTCTTTTACAAGGAAAAACATTTTAGTTTTAAAAAACATCAACTTAACTAGGAGTCTTAATCAAAAGCCTTTCAAGGTTTCTAGTAGACTCCTAGGCCTATCTACTCACTATGTACATATATATATATATATATATATATATATATATATATATATATATATATATATATATATATATATATATATATATATATATATATATATATATAAATGTGTATAAAAATTTAACTAATTTTATGTGATTATGATTGTAACTCCGACAATTATGCAGTCAAAAAAATAAAAATTTCATGCAAACAATATTCGCAGTGTCTATTTAGTAAACTGTCACTTGTCAATCCATACCCATTTTGAAAACTTTATTGTAATCATATGAAGCAAAAGTTCTGTCATTTGTTGTTTACATGCACTTGCCAACGTTAACTGTTGAGTAACATACACCAAACTATTCGAGGAACATGCCATACTGTAGCAAAAAGTCCATCATATATCGAAGACCACTGAATAGTAGAGAATGTTTTAAAGGTCATGAATGAAGTATATAATTAAATTCCAATCTTGTGCACAGTTAATGATATACCACACTGTTCGGTTTAACACAACATATCCACACAAAAACAATTTGTGTTGTGGGAGAATATCGGTTTGAGTAGAAGGTATCACAAGTTCAGTTTTGTACATATTGTGTGCCATTGATCTGACCATCCATATTTAATATTGCAGCTGTTAAGTTATTACAGTATCCATACCATTGATACTTATGAATTTAGGTAAGATTGTCTTGCAAGTGGGTTGTTCTGACAAAATTATCTAGCCAATATCCAGTACATTTATTCATCATTCTTGCATTAATCTCTAGACAAAAACATTTATGTTAGAAAGCAAAATAACAATGTAATATTAAAGGAGGGAGGGTGGGGATTCTTTTATTAGCATTTGAAAATGTTTGTAAAAATTTTGTTTAATTATAAACTCTAATGTGTAAAACCAAAATGTATAAGTATTGTAAACTGATAACATCTTTAACTCCCAACACTACATTTGATGACAGCTTAGTAGTTGGACTGTTGTTTTGAACAGAGTTTATACAGAAATACACGACCAGGATTTAATTCAATATCTCTCGAGACCATTATAGTTTCCTTTGATATTGTACATTGGCAATATTGCCTGCTATGCATGTTTTGACTGTTTAAAATATTACAGAAGTCACAGAAGGATTGTTTTACTGTATAAATCTTTTTGTGAACTATGTTGACAAATGGCTTAAAATATCCTCGAAAATATCCAATATTTTATACAGTGTAATATATTAATAAAAAAATTCCAGAGTGCATTCCATGTAAACTCTACGCCGAAGATACGGCAATATTAACTATAGATAGTATAGTAAATATTTGCCGAACTGGCGAACTCATGTATTATAAAACTTATAAAATATGTGGGACATATATTTGCACAAATTTGGTATTTAAATATATAATATGTGGTATTTGACTACTTACCAGATGAGGATAAGATTCCATGTTGATAAATAACTTCGGAATAATATCGCAAGTAGAATGGCGAGAAAAGTCAGAAAACAAGACAGCCAATTCAAGATAAATTGATAAAAATATCAAGATATTTTTGAAACAATAACACGATTTATACACGAGGCCTGACGAGGCTAAAGTATGCCCGTTCGCAGGTTAGATGCGGGCACGATGTAAACAATCGATGTAAACGAATCGCTGATTGGCTTAAATTGGCTTAAATTATATAAGCTCGTCGCTGAATGGCTATCTGTTAACATACGGTACGGTCACGTTTGCGATAGCATATATATCTGCTTCGCAGATACAATAAAACACTCCTGCTCGTTTATTAAACAGTACATAATATATATATATATATATATATATATATATATATATATATATATATATATATATATATATATATATATATATATATATATATATATATATATATATATAATATATATAATATATATATTATAATATATATAATATATATATGTTAAGTTGTGTAATTGTACACTCCGTAATATGTTAAGATGAAAATGTTCTAGAGTGTGTATTATATAATTTCCATACCCAGCGCAAGCAGAAAGATGTTGTCTGCCGCGGCTGGGTCTTGAACCCGCGACCTTCGAATTACTAGATCGACGCTCTACCAACTGAGCTACACGGTCAGACGGACATCTTTCTGCTTGCGCTGGGTATGGAAATTATATAATACACACTCTAGAACATTTTCATCTTAATATATATATATATATATATATATATATAGGTTATCATATAAGGGATGAGGTGATATCAGTTTTATCGCTCGAGGGATGATATCACAATTGTCACGAGCGAGCGCAGCGACCGAGGGACAATTGTGATATCGTCCCGAGAGCGATAAAACTGATATCACCGAATCCCGAGTACGATAACCTATTTATTATATACTTGTACCTTTATCAGGGTTTGACACCCAAAAGTAAACAATTTTGAAAAAATAGGATCATTTTAGAATTCAAAACAATTCATCATTTACTGAACAAATATGATTTTAGAAAATAAATAGACCATTCATATAAATAATATACAATTTAAGTCTTTCGTTTTGTATTATCGTTCTTGTTTCCTTTGATAAAACTGTCGACATCAACCAACACGAACCTCGAGTCGGCCATCTTTGTTTTGACAAGGCGCGAAATTTAGCGGGACAAAAAACGATATCCGGGACAAAAAACGATATCCGGGACAAAAAACGATATCCGGGACGATATCGTTTTTATGTCCCGCTGCTTCCTACCTGATAAAGGTACAAGTATGTGATAAATATATATATATAGATGCTATATATATATAGATGCTATATATATATATAGATGCTATATATATATATATATAGATGCTATATATATATATATAGATGCTATATATATATATATATATATATATATATATATATATATATATATATATATATATATATATATATATATATATATATATATATATATATACCGGGCGGCCCAAAAAAAAGTACTCCTGTTTGATTTGTAATAACTTCTAAACAAGTAAAGTTTTTAAAGAGAAATAACTTTTAAATTCACGGATATATTAATGTTAAAATTGGGGAGCATATTTTGGAATGTGTCTAAAATTAGCGAAAATCGGCATATCAAATATTAACTCCAGCGTTTGTTTGCTTAATGACATATTAGGCTAACTTGTATTTCAGCGAATTATCGTTAAGGTTTGTAAGGGATATGGCGTAGATTTAGACATCTTACATGTAAATCTTAGCTCATTGTTTCCTGAAATATGAACGTTCGAAATTATGCAAGTATTTAATATTAGGTCTTTGCAAACTTAAATGTACATGAAAGACTGACCATGGAAGGCAGGCGCTTAAATTTTTCGTATTCTTAAATAGCCTAATTTTTTATGTTTTTAATGGGTTCAAACAGACTGAGTAGATTATTTCTCGGTTAGAGCAGGATGAATATTCTTTATTGAAGGAAATAATATTGCTTTTTGCAAATACACATCACCGTATCAACGCTACTATTTTGTTACGTTTTGTTCCAAAAATGTTGCATGTCTTTGGGGAGTTGCTTAATTGTTATGTCTTATGGAGTTGTATGGTTTGATTGTGTTTCATATAATTCTCAGTTTACTCCATGAACTTGCCAAGATTAAGAAACGGCAAAAGAGTTTGGGTGTTCTTAACAAGATTTCAGAACGTTGCAGAAGTTAGAAGAGCTTCACAATTCCGTTGTGACAACATGCCCTAATTCAGAACTACGAACGATCCAATGACGATCCTTCGCGATGCAGTGGTCTCATGAAATAAGGAAACGTATTCGTGCTAGGAACACACGCGAATTTCGGACGAATGAATCTTGCTTGTATTTTGTAGATATAATAATACTTTGTTTCATAATAAACAATTTGTCAAGTGTCATTTATTTACTGGTAATAGTGCATGTTTCAGTCGGGCAAATCTTGATTATATTTGATACGCCGATTTTTGCATATTTCAGACACATCCAGAAATATCCTCCCGAATTTAAAGATTAATATCTCCGTGAATTTTTAGATTGAAATACAACTGTAATATATCAAAGTCTAAGTTAGTCCTTCCTCTATTTGATGCAAGTTATTTCTCTTTAAAAGCTATACTTGTTTAGATGTTATTACGAATCAAACAGGAGTACTTTTTTTTGGGCCACCCGGTATATATAATATAAGAGTATAAGATAAACTTTGCTGTGTTCATCTTGTGAGTATATATATATATATATATATATATATATATATATATATATATATATATATATATATATATATATATATATATATATATATATATATATATATATATATATCACAAAGTACTTCATTACAGTAAAGCTAATGTCACAATTAAAGCTTTTTATCAAATTTATGATGCGGACTGCATTCTCTAAATGTCCTAACTCCTAAATGTCAAACATATACAGTATTCGTATTTGTAAACATACACGCACAAACGAGTCTTTGACCTATCTTTGAGTAGGCTATTGTCGGATTATTTTACCGTAGGTTTGATAACAGGGAGGTATACTTCGACATATTTCTTGAGCATCAAGTTTCAACAGATTCTGGTTTTTCGATCTCTGAGGATTGTTCTGAAGTTTCAGCAGTCCGAGTACCATTGTTTACCAGCAACATTGTTTGCGATATTTCAGAAATCAAACGATCTCTATATTTCGTTACACATCTCAGTATTAAATAAATCCTTGTAGTTTAGGATAGACACCAACAGCTAAATAACAGCCACATCGATCGGTACTGGTGTAGAAATATATTTTCTTGTAACGTTTGCGACGTGTTGATTTCTTCGACGAGCTGTATCGGCATAATTTGTCTATTGAAATCTGATCTATCTTTGCTCACCGACATTCTGCGCACAATGAAATTTGATATTCACTATTGTGTAACATTGATAGTATTCATGACAAATAAAATATACAATTTTGTAAATATTTCCTGCATGATTTCTGGGTTATTTCTTCGCTCACTCCTTGCTCAATGACAAAACGTACTTAGGTACCCACCCTAATTGAAATTGTTTGTTATCTCCCAGATTCTGGGAGACACGTGACCAGCCGATAGCAGGGTCTTTCCTAGCCGGTGGAAAGTCCCTGCGACGGAGGTTGAATTTGACTTTGGTTTAAAAGGCAGCACTTGCCTTGCGATGGTAACTTCTAGTTTTTATTGACGCGATCCACGTCGATCCACGAAGCCGGCGAACGGCTAAGCGTAGTAGAAAGTATTTTAAAACACATCTAAGCATTTTTTATATCAAAATACGCATTAAAATAGCCGTGTACCAAAACTTTTTGCATCAATAAGTGTTTTGAACATTTCTAAGTCGATCTAAACGGAAAATTGGGCCGAAATGTTCTAAATTTGACTTTGGTTTAAAGAGCAGCACTTGCTTTGCGATGGTAACTTCTTATGCCGAACATATATATACAACGGCATAAACGTTTAAGTTGAATGTTTATGCCGAACATATACAACGGCATAAACATCTAAGTTGAATGTTTATGCCGAACATATACAACGGCATAAACATCCAAGTTGAATATATGTTGATTGAGATCACTAGTTCAGATCAATGCGGTATGTTCGTGATCACGTGGTACAGTGGTGGAAACCATGCCCAGACGTCAAATGCGTAATGGATCCATTCCCGGCGAACATTTTTTTATATTTTCGCACCAAGAAATATTCGGAAGTTACTAATTCTTTTTTTTCCCCAAAAATATTTCCTCAGATTGAAAGGAAACGGTATATTCCTACTTACTTTAGCCAAATGTTTATGCGGAACATATTCAACGCCATAAACATCTGAGTTGAACGGCTATGCCGAAAGGAGTCAACGGCATAACCATCCAAGTTGAATGGTTATCCCGAAGACAGTCAACGGCATAACCATCCAAGTTGAATGGTTATGCCGAAGGCAGTCAACGGCATGACCATGCAAGCTGAATGGTTATGTCGAAGACAGTCAACGGCATAACCATCCAAATTGAATGGTTATGCCGAAGACTGTCAACGGCATAACAATCCAAGTTGAATGGTTATGCCGAAGACAGTCAACGGCATAACCATCCAAGTTGAATGGTTATGCCGAAGACAGTCAATGGCATAACCATCCAAGTTGAATGGTTATGCCGAAGACAGTCATCGGCATAATCATCCAAGTTGAATGGTTATGCCGAAGACAGTCAACGGCATAACCATCCAAGTTGAATGGTAATGCCGAAGGCAGTCAACGGCATGACCATCCAAGTTGAATGGTTATGCCGAAGACAGTCAACGGCATAACCATCCAAGTTGAATGGTTATGCCGAAGACAGTCAATGGCATAACCATTCAAGTTGAGTGATTATGCCGAAGACAGTCATCCGCATAACCATCCAAGTTGAATGTTTATGCCGAACATATACAACGGAATAATCATCTAAGTTGAATGTTTATGCCGAACATATACAACGGCATAAACATCTAAGTTGAATGTTTATGCCGAACATATACAACGGCATAAACATGTAAATTGAATGTTTATGCCGAACATATACAAGGGATAAACTTCCAAGTTGAATGTTTATGCCGAACATATACAACGGCATAAACATATAAGTTGAATATATAGATAGAGATCACTAGTTCAGATCAATGCGGTATGTTCGTGATCACGTGGTACAGTGGTAGAAACCATGCTCAGACGTCAAATGCGTAATGGATCGATTCTCGCCGAACATTTTTTTATATTTTCCCACCAAGAAATATTCGGAAATTACTAATTCTTTTTTTTTCTCAAAAAATATTTCCTCAGGTTGAAAGGAACCGGTATATTCCTACTTACTTTACCCAAATGTTTATGCCGAACATATTCAACGCCATAAACATCTGAGTTGAACGGCTATGCCGAAAGGAGTCAGCGGCATAACCATCCAAGTTGAATGGTTATGCCGAAGACAGTCAACGGCATAACCACCCAAGTTGAATGGTTATGCCGAAGGCGGTCAACGGCATAACCTTCCAAGTTGAATGGTTATGCCGAAGACAGTCAACGGCATAACCACCCAAGTTGAATGGTTATGCCGAAGGCAGTCAACGGCATAACCATCCAAGTTGAATGGTTATGCCGAAGACAGTCAAACGGAATAACCATCCAAGTTGAATGTTTATGCCGAACATATACAACGGCATAAGCATCTAAACTGAATGTTTATGCCGAACATATACAACGGCATAAACATCTAACTGAGTTGGATGTCTATGCCGAACATATACAACGGCATAAACATCTAAATTGAATGTTTATGCCGAACATATACAACGGCATAAACATCCAAGTTGAATGTTTATGACGAACATATACAATGGCATAAGCATCTAAGTTGGATGTTTATGCCGAACATATACAACGGCATAAACATCTAAATTGAATGTTTATGCCGAACATATACAACGGCATAACCCCCTAAGTTGAATGGTTATGCCGAAGGCAGTCAACGGCGTAACCATCCAAGTTGAATGGTTACATCGAAGGCAGTCAACGGCATAATGGTTATGCCGAAGACAGTCAACGGAACAACCATCCAAGTTGAAAGGTTATGCCGAAGACAGTCAACGGCATAACCACCCAAGTTGAATGGTTATGCCGAAGACAGTCATCGGCATAACCATCCAAGTTGAATGGTTATGCCGAAGACAGTCAAACGGAATAACCATCCAAGCTGAATGTTTATGCCGAACATATACAACTGCATAAACATCTAAGTTGAATGTTTATGCCGAACATATACAACGGCATAAACTTCCAAGTTGAATGTTTATGCCGAACATATACAACGGCATAAACATCTAAGTTGAATGTTGATGCCGAACATATACAACGGCATAAACATCCAAGTTGAATATATAAATAGAGATCATTAGTTCAGATCAATGCGGTATGTTCGTGATCACGTGGTACAGTGGTAGAAACCATGTCCACACGTCAAATGCATAATGGTCGATTCTCGCCGAACATTTTTTTATATTTTCGCACCAAGAAGTATTCGAAAATTACTAATTCTTTTTTTTTCACCAAAAATCTTTCCTCAGGTTGAAAGGAAACTGTATATTCCTACTTACTTTAGCCAAATGTTTATGCGGAACATATTCAACGGCATAAACATCTGAGTTGAACGGCTATGCCGAAAGGAGTCAACCGCATAACCACCCAAGTTGAATGGTTATCCCGAAGACAGTCAACGGCATAACCATCCAAGTTGAATGGTTATGCCGAAGGCAGTCAACGGCATGACCATCCAAGCTGAATGGTTATGTCGAAGACAGTCAACGGCATAACCATCCAAATTGAATGGTTATGCCGAAGACTGTCAACGGCATAACAATCCAAGTTGAATGGTTATGCCGAAGACAGTCAACGGCATAACCATCCAAGTTGAATGGTTATGCCGAAGACAGTCAATGGCATAACCATCCAAGTTGAGTGGTTATGCCGAAGACAGTCAAACGGAATAACTATCCTAGTTGAATGTTTATGCCGAACATATACAGCGGCATAAACATCTAAACTGAATGTTTATGCCGAACATATACAACGGCATAAACATCCATGTTGAATGTTTATGACGAACATATACAACGGCAAAAGCATCTAAGTTGGATGTTTATGCCGAACATATACAACGGCATAAGCATCTAAGTTGGATGTTTATGCGGAACATATACAACGGCATAAACATCTAAATTGAATGTTTATGCCGAACATATACAACGGCATAAACATCTAAGTTGAATGTTTATGCCGAACATATACAACGGCATAAACACCTAAGTTGAATGTTTATGCCGAACATATACAACGGCATAAACATCTAAGTTGAATGTTGCTCAGATCAATGCGGTATATTCATGAACATGTGGTACAGTGGTACAAACCACTGGCGTCAAATGCCTAATGGATCGATTCTCGCCGAACAATTTTTTATATTTTAGCACCAAGAAATATTCGGAAATTACTGATTTTTTTTTCTCCAAAAATACTTCCTCTGGATGAAAGCAAACGGTATTTTCCTTCTTACTTTAGCCATATGTTTATGCCGAACATATACAACGGCATAAACATCTAAGTTGAATGGTTATGCCGAACATATACAACGGTATAAACATCCAAGTTGAATATTTATTGATTGCATGAGATCACTTGTTCAGATCAATCCAGTATGTTCATGAGCACGTGGTACAGTGGTAGAAACCACAGACGTCAAATGCGTAATGGATCGATCACTAGCTCAGATCAATGCGGTATGTTCATGAACACGTGGTACAGTGGTAGAAACCACAGACGTCAAATGCGTAATGGATCGATCACTAGCTCAGATCAATGCGGTATGTTCATGAACACGTGGTACAGTGGTAGAAACCACAGACGTCAAATGCGTAATGGTTCGATCACTAGCTCAGATCAATGCGGTATGTTCATGAACACGTGGTACAGTGGTAGAAACCACAGACGTCAAATGCGTAATGGATCGATCACTAGCTCAGATCAATGCGGTATGTTCATGAACACGTGGTACAGTGGTAGAAACCACAGACGTCAAATGCGTAATGGATCGATCACTATAGCTCAGATCAATGCGGTATGTTCATGAACACGTGGTACAGTGGTAGAAACCACAGACGTCAAATGCGTAATGGATCGATCACTAGCTCAGATCAATGCGGTATGTTCATGAACACGTGGTACAGTGGTAGAAACCACAGACGTCAAATGCGTAATGGATCGATCACTAGCTCAGATCAATGCGGTATGTTCATGAACACGTGGTACAGTGGTAGAAACCACAGACGTCAAATGCGTAATGGTTCGATCACTAGCTGAGATCAACGATCTACTAGCTACGATCCATAAGCTTTCTATCGATGCCTTACTCGTGTATCAAAGGACAGTCCATGAAGAAACAAAGCAGGTTATTCCAGGTTTTTCGAAAAAGACGTGAAAGTTAACATTATGCACTTTGGAACCTGATGTTGTATTGATTTTCAAGGCCTCTCCAGCAGAAACTGGAATTTGTCACGGACTGAAAATTGTATTTTTAGAATCTACATTCCTATGCCTTCTGTCGATGTCTGATTCGTGCATCATTAGACGATAAAAAACAGGTTCTTACAGCTGCATGTATAGTCGAACAAAACGTGAAAGTTAATACAATTATATTCGAACCTTTCCCTGCCCAACATGATTCCGACACAACCAGGAATGGAACTTAGCTTCTCACACGTGCAACGCTTTGTTCTTACCATTAGACCACCTCGCCTACACTTGCTGTAACTCCCTTTGTTATTCTACTTAACTCTTTCTCGTCTCGGGTGGAATTAATAAACAACGATGCCTGACATTAAAATGCTTTCGGCACAACCAGGAGTCGATCCTGGTTTATATAAAGAACGATAAAAAGAGTAAAAAATAGCCAGATTGTATAAAGGGAAAAAAATATTGTGAGTTCAACGTGATTTGAACTCAAATGTTTATCGGGATAGGCCAAACGACCTACAACTAAGCCACCAGGGACGAGCTGAAATTCTTGTGAAATTAAAGACAATAGTAGATTGTTGTGACCTGCTTATCTCATGCGGAGAAGGAGACTATTATGCGGTGAATGGCGGTGAACGCGGTGAAAGGATTCAGTATAAAATCAACACAGAATGATTAGCTCGATCTCTTCGGGCCAGGTTCAACCTAGCAATATTTTCTTCTGCTTGTAAAGCGATTTCTCACGTAGAACTATAAAAAGAATAAAAAATAGCCAGATTGTATAAAGGAAAAAAATATTGTGAGTCCGCTACAAAATATGAGTTCAACGTGATTTGAACTCAAACGTTTATCGAGATAGGCCGAACGACGTACCACTAAGCCACCAGGGACGAGCTGAAATTCTTGTGAAATTAAAGACAATAGTAGATTGTTGTGACCTGCTTATCTCATGGGGTGAAGGAGACTATTATGCGGTGAATGGCGGTGAATGCGGTGAAAGGATTCAATATGAAATCAACACAGAATGATTAGCTGGATCTCTTCGGGCCAGGTTCAACCTAGCAATATTTTCTTCTGCTTGTAAAGCGATTTCTTACATAAAACTATAAAAAGAGTAAAAAATAGCCAGATTGTATAAAAGGGAAAAAATATTGTGAGTCCGCTACAAAATATGAGTTCAACGTGATTTGAACTCAAACGTTTATCGAGATAGGCCAAACGACCTACCACTAAGCCACCAGGGACGAGCTGAAATTCTTGTGAAATTAAAGACAATAGTAGATTGTTGTGACCTGCTTATCTCATGCGGTGAAGGAGACTATTATGCGGTGAATGGCGGTGAATGCGGTGAAAGGATTCAATATGAAATCAACACAGAATGATTAGCTGGATCTCTTCGGGCGAGGTTCAACCTAGCAATATTTTCTTCTGCTTGTAAAGCGATTTCTCACATAAAACTATAAAAAGAGTAAAAAATAGCCAGATTGTATAAAAGGGAAAAAATATTGTGAGTCCGCTACAAAATATGAGTTCAACGTGATTTGAACTCAAACGTTTATCGAGATAGGCCAAACGACCTACCACTAAGCCACCAGGGACGAGCTGAAATTCTTGTGAAATTAAAGACAATAGTAGATTGTTGTGACCTGCTTATCTCATGCGGTGTAGGAGACTATTATGCGGTGAATGGCGGTGAACGCGGTGAAAGAATTCAATATGAAATCAACACAAAATGATTAGCTGGATCTCTTCGGGCCAGGTTCAACATAGCAATATTTTTTCTGCTTGTAAAGCAATTTCTCACATAGAAATATAAAAAGAGTAAAAAATAGCCAGATTATATAAAGATTAAAGGGAAAAAGATTGTGAGTCTGCTACAAAATGTGAGTTCAGCGTGATTTGAACTCAAACGTTTATCGAGATAGGCCAAACGAACTACCACTAAGCCACCAGCGACGATCTGAAATTTTTGTGAAATTAAAGACAATAGTAGATTGTTGTGACCTGCTTATCTCATGCGGTGTAGGAAACTATTATGCGGTGAATGGCGGTGAACGCGGTGAAAGAATTCAATGTGAAATCAACACAGAACGATTAGCTGGATCTCTTCGGGCCAGGTTCAACATAGCAATATTTTATACTACTTGCAAAGCGATTTCTCACATAGAAGTATAAAAAGTATAAGAAATAGCAAGAATAAATAAAGGAAAAAAATATTGAGAGTCTGCTACAAAATATGAGTTCAACGGGATTTGAACCCAAACGTTAATAGAGACAGGCCAGACGAACTACCACTAAGCCACCAGGGACGATCTGAAATTTTTGTGAAATTAAAGACAATAGTAGATTGTTGTGACCTGCTTATCTCATGCGGTGTAGGAGACTATTATGCGGTGCATGGCGGTGAACGCGGTGAAAGAATTCAATATGAAATCAACACAGAATGATTAGCTGGATCTCTTCGGGCCAGTTTCAACATAGCAATATTTTATACTACTTGCAAAGCGATTTCTCACATAGAACTATAAAAAGAGTAAAACATAGCCAGATTATATAAAGGGAAAAAAAATATTGAGAGTCCGCTACAAAATATGAGTTCAACGTGATTTGAACCCAAACGTTAATAGAGACAGGCCAGACGAACTACCACTAAGCCACCAGAGACGATCTGGAATTTTTGTGAAATTAAAGGCAATAGTAGATTGTTGTGACCTGCTTATTTCATGCGGTGTAGGAGACTATTATGCGGTGAATGGCGGTGAACGCGGTGAAAGAATTCAACATGAAATCAACACAGAATGATTAGCTGGATCTCTTCGGGCCAGGTTCAACATAGCAATATTTTATACTACTTGCAAAGCGATTTCTCACATAGAACTATAAAAAGAGTAAAAAATAGCCAGATTATATAAAGGGAAAAAAATATTGTGAGTCCGCTACAAAATATGAGTTCAACGTGATTTGAACCCAAACGTTAATAGAGAGAGGCCAGACGAACTACCACTAAGCCACCAGGGACGATCTGAAATTTTTGTGAAATTAAAGACAATAGTAGATTGTTGTGACCTGCTTATCTCATGCGGTGTAGGAGACTATTATGCGGTGAATGGCGGTGAACGCGGTGAAAGAATTCAATATGAAATGATCAACACAGAATGATTAGCTGGATCTCTTCGGGCCAGGTTCAACATAGCAATATTTTATACTATTTGCAAAGCGATTTCTCACATAGAACTATAAAAAGAGTAAAAAATAGCCAGATTATATAAAGGGAAAAAAAATATTGTGAGTCCGCTACAAAATATGAGTTCAACGTGATTTGAACCCAAACGTTAATAGAGACAGGCCATACGAACTACCACTAAGCCACCAGGGACGATCTGAAATTTTTGTGAAATTAAATACAATAGTAGATTGTTGTGACCTGCTTATCTCATGCGGTGTAGGAGACTATTATGCGGTGAATGGCGGTGAACGCGGTGAAAGAATTCAATATGAAATCAACAGAGAATGATTAGCTGGATCTCTTCGGGCCAGGTTCAACATAGCAATATTTTATACTACTTGCAAAGCGATTTCTCACATAGAACTATAAAGAGAGTAAAAAATAGCCAGATTATATAAAGGGAAAAAAAATATTGTGAGTCCGCTACAAAATATGAGTTCAACGTGATTTGAACCCAAACGTTAATAGAGACAGGCCAAACGACCTACCACTAAGCCACCAGGGACGATCTGAAATTTTTGTGAAATTAAAGACAATAGTAGATTGTTGTGACCTGCTTATCTCATGCGGTGTAGGAGACTATTATGCGGTGAATGGCGGTGAACGCGGTGAAAGAATTCAATATGAAATCAACACAGAATGATTAGCTGGATCTCTTCGGGCCAGGTTCAACATAGCAATATTTT